AGGGGCTGTCCATCCGTCACTTCCCATTAATTACTGGAGAGGTGTTTTTTCCAGTGATTTACCTGACAGCGGGCCATGATGAATACCCCTAAACCAAGTGGGCAGTGATTAATCATGTGGCCACGCCCTTCTCCAACTCTTTCTTTGCCTTTACCAGAGGACAGACCCTGAAACCATCTGTCTCTATAAACGTGGCCTGATGCATATTTATAGGGGCCTGGGACCTGGCAGAGAGCAGCCTTGGCTGTTTGTGCCAAAGCTTTATAAAGAACAAATATCCCCCTGGCATAAGGGGGCTGCAAGTACCTGGGGCCATGGGGTAGTGGTTAGGTTTCAGGTAGAGGGGAATTGAAAAGAGGAAGCAAATATAGCTGTTTCAGTCTTGGAAGGGAATATGGACTTAAGGTGGAGAGGGCGACTGTGCCTTGCATTTCTTTTGGGGGGGGGGGGGCTTTGAATCATGGGAACATTTTTAAACTTAAAAACAAGGAGCCAAGAGTGGTAAACTAGTCTGCCGTAATCTGTTGCAAGTGTAAATTTGGCCACTCATCCATGGTTAAACTAATCAAGGAGAGAACCAACCTAGAATTAAGAAATTTCCTAACAGTGAGAACAATTAATCAGTGGAACAACTTGCTTCCAGAAGTGGTGGGTGCTCCAACACGGGAAGTTTTTAAGAAGAAATTGGAATTTCTTGGATTGGAAATGTAAAGAGATTTTCTTTATATTTCCAATACTTTGGGAATCCTCAAAGCATTTATATTAAGTTCCCTGCATGTCCAGAGTTCTTTGTTCTCTTTCTTGTTTGAAAATGAGTTTGATCCAGGACAGGAAATGCCATTTGGTATTGTTATAGATTGCTGGCAAATGAACAAGATTCTGCATGGGTGTACACTTTATGATAAATGTATATCTAACATTTGCGTATGTTTTCGAAGCTCTTCAAATGGAGGAGAAAGAATGGTAGAACCTGAGGGTGGAGTTAAAAGAGGAATCAACCTAGAATCACTATGTAGCCACACAGAGACTAAGTCCAACCCCTCTTGTATTCCATTGACCCTTATCTACTGCCAAAATATTGCTAAACATTAGTTGAGTAGATTCCTGTGCATAGGCATGAATAGTAATACATCTGTTTAATGTGGACATGATCTTTTGCATCTGACATTATATCATTTTGCGTTGGTATGGCTGGGATTAGTTAAGGTAGGCTTAAGCTCACCACCAGTTTACTCTGAACTTTGTCAACAAAATGAGTGCAAGGATAATTGTATCTTAGTTAATATTGATATCCATTAATCTTTCCAGCAGTTAATCAAGCAAGGTTTCGTTTATTTTATTAGTTCTTCACTATTCTCTAAAGAACTCCAATTCTTTCTTGGAGGACTGACTGGGTTGGGTTAGAAAACTTACCCATTTTGACTGGGTTTATGGTGTTGACATATTTGGCCCTATGGCAAATAGGGATTTATAGGTGATTATCCAACATCTTAAATTGCTTAAACCTGAACAAGCTCAGGGTTTGGGAGATTAAAATGAATCTTCTCCTGCCCTACTCCTTTCTGAGCTGTAATATTCTCACAGTACACTTACCCCATTGTTGAACCAGAAAAGCACATTGTGTAAATACCGCCATCCTGCCATAAATCCTGTCTCGCTCAATAACTGTTGTTAGGAGATACAGATAAATGCATAAAACCGAGCTCTTTATATACCTGTGGTATGTTCAATACAGTATCTTTGCTCTTGCCTTATTAATGTGTAAACCATCATTTAATACCATATATGCTATATATTTTTGGAACATGTGACGTTTTATAGTCTGTCGATCTTTTGCTTAAGGGGCTTAGATCTCTCCCTTAGGAACCTGTCAGTTTAGAATATATATACTGTACTTCTCTAAATATCCAGGCGAATGCAATTGCAAAAGAGAAAAGGGCACAGCAAAATCCCCTCCATGGCATTTGGAGAGGAGGAGGGGGGAGAAGGGGAAGGAGGGAGAGGAGGAGGAATACTCTGATTCCTTTTTCCTTTGTAAAGCTTAGTAGATTTAAGTAAGTATCCATTTCATCTCTATGTAGAGGCAGAATGTGTTAGAGATGTGCTCTTTTTAGACCCACACAGCATCTGAAAGCATCTAGACTTGGTTTTTCAGATGATACAGGTAAGTGAGCCATGGAAAACTCCTTCTTCATCTCAAAAACGTATGTCAAAATACGTATGTCATCTCAAAATGTCTTTTTCATTCTTTATACAATACTATCCTGCTTCCATAGCTTGTTTCCTATTTTCCCCAAAGAATGCTGAATTCAATTTAAAAAAAACAACACACCTTTGGGCAAGGAATCTCCATTGCTTCCTTTTCAGAAGTAGGAAAACAGGAAGTTTAATCTGTACCTGGCCATTTTATGCTGTATCCAGACAGTATTGTCCACTGAAACTGAAGTAATTCTTTTGACCGGAATAGCAGAACTTTCTGCATGCAAAACATGTAGTCTTACCCAGAGGTGGGTTACTGCCATTTTGGCCCAGTTCGGCCGAACCAGTAGTGGAATTCAGACCTGGGTCATAGAACCGGCAGCAACCCAGGCCTGCTGGTTCCAGTTCCCTCACTGCCACTTGGGCGCCGCCATTATTAATTTTAGTGACTATGCATGCACAGTTCACTGTAAATTGTTCTGTGCATATGCGAAGAACAATTTACATTGAACAGGTTGCAAACCAGCAATAACGTTGGCAGCAACCCACCCCTGGTCTTATCCTTGAATTGTGGTCTTCTCCCTGGTTTCTCAGGCAGGGACATAAGCAAAAATTATAATAAGGCAGGTTCTCTATTGTTCCTGAACTTTGTGGGTGCGGTGTGTCATGCAGAAATTGGTAAATACTCCCTTAGCCTTCATTGACCGAGCAGAACCATTATCTTACCACCCTCTAGAGCAGTGTTTCTCAACCTTGGCAACTTGAAGATGTCTGGACTTCAACTCCCAGAATTCCCCAGCCAGCGAATTCTGAGAGTTGAAGTCCGGACATCTTCAAGTTGCCAAGGTTGAGAAACACTGCTCTAGACATAGTTCTGCTTCCTTTCATTAATTGCTCCAAAATGTATACAATTTTCTATACATCTATAAAAGCAAATTTCTTCAAATCTAGTTTGGCCAGTCAGTTAATATACAACGCATTTAAAATGTGATAGGGTAAATAGAAATTGGGTGTCTTACAGAAACGTGATCAAGAATTGGTTTGTTCCAGAATTTTTTCTCCTAGGCATAATACCTGAGGGGTTTAAGAAAGATGTACTTTATCTAATTATACATGTACTACCTGTGGCGCGCATAACGTTTGCGCAGTATTGGAAAAAAGAAGAAAATACGCCATCAGAGCTAATCAGAAAAGTGTTGGCCTGTGCAGAAGCAGATAGGCTCACTCTTGAACTTAAAAATAAAGGGGAATCAGAATATATTGAAGTCTGGAACAGATTTTATGATTGGTGTAGAACTGTGATGGCAAACCTATGGCATGCATGCCAGAGGTGTCACACAGAGCCCTCTCTGTGGGCACGTGTGCTGTTGCCAGCTGCTCTTCTGGTTTCTCGTGTACACATGCTGGCTGGCCAACTGGTCTTTGTGTATGCCGGAGCACCAGAAAATGGCCTAAAAACGGCCAAAAAACAGGCATGCATGCGCCGGCCAGCTGGTTTGGGGGTTTCCGGTGCTCCGGCGCATGTGCATGCACGCACATTCTGGTTTCAGCACTTGGTGCCAAAAAGGTTCGCCATCACTGGCATAGGACAAGGTGACAAGACTGGAACAAACTGGTAATACTGTGTTTCGACAGAAGGATAGATAATGTATTGAGTAGGCTAATAGTCAATGGATGAGACTAATTGCATATAATGTGATTGTATGGTCACTTCGACTTTGCGGTACTGCTTTGTTTTAAATGTAAAAACAATAAAAATATATTTTAAAAAAAAGAATTGGTTTGTTAATTAATAGAAGAGAATCCCAACTGATTTTTATCCTGGAGATTTGCACATATTCTTTAAATAAGAGAAAAGCAAATTGCCAGTTGTGAAGAGTTTAGGTTAATAAATCTGGGTATGTTTAAAAAGATTTTTGTTTCTCCCACACTAGAGCAGAGACAATGAATGATATTTGCAGCTGCTTGAGCCTTGAGGCTAGAGACTAGAATTACAATATAGAATAAAATTGCATACCTATTGTACTTGCTGTTTCACCTATCCTAAAACATACTTATTCTGTAACTGTCTTATTCTCAAAATCTTTTTGAACAAAAGTATTCATAGAAACTTTTGGTTTTGGATAGAGTTTGGGGCATGGTAAGGATAGCTGAGCTTATGACAAACGCCACTGTGATTTTCTATAGGATAGTGGCAAAGCTGATAAAAACCCTGAGAGGAGTTTGATTAGAGTATGAAGGGATTAGGGTACCAACATGCAGGAGACAGCAGGTTGAAGCTTACTTATACCAGTTTTTTAAAATAACAAGCTATACTAGGTTCCATCGGATGAACATGATTTATATCTTTCTTTTTCTTTTTGTGCCTAGTGCAAAATTACTGTGGTTTATTCAGGCTTGATTATCCTCCTTTCTTGAGAGCAATATCAGAAAATGTTTAGCAGTAGAGAAAGAAACCACAAAGCAGATCTGATGGCCTCAAAATCTGATGCAAGACCTATAAGAAATGCTCAAGTAGTTCATTGATGAAAAGAATAATCAAAATGCCAAAGTATTTAAGCAGCAGAGCTTTTGGTAGAGGAATGTCAGCTACTGGTGCTGTTTTGTGTACAGTATTGTGCACAGCCAGCTCTGCTTTACTCTCTGGTTCTGCCTCTATGTTTTCCTTACTTCAGAACATTTTTTTTTAAGGTGCTATCACCTCAAACTTGCTCTGATGAATTCTACTTTAATTGGTACATTGTACTAACAGGCCTAACTGCTGCTGCATTGAACTGATTGTCTCTCTCTCTTTCTTACAGATATTGATAACACCATGCAGCCAGATGCAGACAAAACCAGGGTACGAATTAGGAAACCGGACATGGTTCTGTATGTCCCAAGAGCAAGACGTGAGATGGCAGTCTCAAAAAGTGGCCCTTCGGCGGCCACCAAATGTGGGAGGGAGAGTCACTGCTCCACCACAGAAAAGGAGAGTGTTAAAGCCTGTGAGGCAGGACCAAACCCTAAAACTAGGAAAGGGCTGCTTCAGAATGACCAGGGAAATGCCAGGTCTCCTCAGAAAGAGAGAAGAACTTTTCCCCAGGACTCAAGCCATAATGATGCTTTCTGCCAAAGGAACCAAGACACAAAGGCTCAGGGAGAGAAGAGTCCAAAGTTCCGTCAGAAGGCTACATCACATCACTTGTTCCCTTCCTCCAGCTTCCCGGACCCAACTCTTACTGGAGTGAATGAAACAGAGACACATGAGTGCTGTACTGTACAATCAGCTGCCTCGGGGGAAAGAATGGCTGATTTCCAGCCAGAGATTAGTGGTGTTAACATCTCATGGAAAAATGAGCCTATCTGCCCATCAGAAAGGCAGGTCACCGACAGTACCAAGAGTGCAGTAGTTGTCTCAGAAGCAGTAGGAACGGGTGAAAGTGGTATGCAGGATTCCTTGGAACAGAAAATGCTAAGCAAAGATAGCAAGTTGCTTTTCAAGAACAACAGAACAAAGCCTTTAAGTAAAGGTGGTTCAGAATTGACTGGAATAAGTGAGAACAGTAAATCTGGAACTGCAGACCAGAGGATTCCGGATAACATAGAGACACATAGTTCATCCATCTGCACAGAGGAAGGAAACTCTGATTCAGCACACATAAGTAACTGTGATTTGCTGGAGCACATTGATAAAAGCAACCTCTTTCCTACGGAGATAACCAAGTATAATAGATGCAAATGTACAGAGCAAAGCAACTCCAGTCAAACGGCAATGAGTGACACTAGCGTCTTAGAATGTGCTGTGGTAGAGCCAAAGGAATGTAGTAGAGTTGAAGATGCAGAAGAAGGTGTTCCCACTTCAGCTCAAGCAAGGGAGCATGGCAACAAGAGTCCAGTTAAATTTATCTCTGATCAGGTTGGAGTGGCTGCTGATAGTCATGAGAACATTTCAATTCAGGCGGAGACACATAACCTCATGGAGAATGCAGAGCAGCCTCCAGATAATTCAAATGTGTCTGTAGGTTTTAGTTGTTCAGACAGGACCTCTGAGAAGATAGATGATCTACCCAATTGTGTCGTTAGGGTAGCAGGTGATGAAAAGTTACAGGCAGGGGAGAGAGAACATGATAAGGAGAAAAGCCTGTGTCGTGAGGCAGGCCAGTATGAATTTAATACATTTGAGGCAAAAGCTGCACTGACAACAGAGGAAAGCATTTTGGACTTGGTTGACCAGAGCCCTGAGAGCAGAAGTCGCGTGGAGCCAATTTGTCCTTCGAAGGAGGCTGCATGCTGGCCTCTGAAATCTGCCTCTGAGAAGATGCCATGTTGTCCAGTAAGCATACAGGAGAGAACAGGAGCACCCTTAGAAGGGGAAAAGCCAGCTTTGGGGGAACTTGATACAAGCTTCCAGTATCCCTCTGAAGGCAAAGGAGAAGAACCACCCGCAAATCGTGTGCCATCCAGTTCGGAAGAGGCCACTAACACCAGCACTGATCCTGTAAGTCACAGCGAGGCTGACAACATGGCAGATGAGAGCTGGGATGCCCTGTTTAATGATGATGGGGATTGCTTGGATCCACAATTACTGGAGCAGGTGAGTATTCTGGGGTTTTGTCCCCAGAGTTGAAGCAAAATGGTAAGAACTGCACGCATGTCAGAGGCATGTGACATGGCCACCTCGAATCTAGAATCCTTGTTTATATCAGTGGTTCCCAAACTTGGCAACTTTAAGACTTGTGGACTTCAACTCCCAGAATTCTCCAGCAGAGCTGGCTGGAGAATTCTGGGAGTTAAAGTCCACAAGTCTTAAAGTTGCCACGTTTGGGAACCACTGGTTTATATCAAAGCTAGCTCAGTCTGGTCACTTCCTGCTTTTTAGTGGAAGATCAAACCAATAATCATCACACATAGAATTCTCTGCAGAAAAATTCAGACCGTGATGCTGAGAGTAAACTGGAGAACCATTCAAAATAGATATATGTGGTTTTGTAGTTTTGTATTGTTTCTAAAACATTTTTTTAAATCCTTGCATTATCTGAATGTTATTGGGAGGTGAAGAAGAGTCAATACCATTGGAAAATGATTATACAGGGGTAGGAAAATTGGCAATTGCCTTCATAGGAAGGGGGGAAAACCAAAACAACCAGAGCCCAATAACCCCTTTTCTGATAGACTTTATTAAAAGGCACAGACTCATGCCTCGTAATAAAATATGTTAATTGGAAAAGGTGACTCCTGATTGTTTGCTGTCGTATATTAACATGACTCTCCTGCTGCAGTACCTACAAGAAGCAAAAGGAAATTCCAGAAGTAATAAAAACTGCAAAGCTCCAACTCTTATTGGTGAAAATGTACCCTATTTCTTGAATGTTTAGTAGAGGTTTGTATTATTTCCCACATCCGCTGCCCATGAGGGTTACTGTATTTTTCACAGTATAAGATGCAACCTTTTCCCTCAAAAAAGAGGCTGAAAATCTGGGTGCGTCTTATACATTGAATACAGCATTTTTTGCCTCCTGAAAACTCGCCCCTTTCACCAAAATGGTCCTGCATAATTTTTAGAAGGCTTTCAGAGAGCTCCTGGGGGCTGCAGAGTGCAGAAATGAGCAAAAAACGGCCCGTTCCAGCCCCCAGCAGCACTCTATAAGCTTCCTAAAATCTATCCATGCCCCTTTTGGGGGGGGGAGGGAAACGGGCCCGTTTTCGCGAAAAACAGACCACTTTTTGCTCATTTGTGGCCCCCACCCCACCCCCCCAGGAGCACTCTACATGCCTCCTAAGGGCTATTCATGCCCCTTTAAAAAAACAGGTCTGTTTTTGTGAAAAATGGACCATTTTGGGGAGGTTTGCAGAGTGCAAAAACGTTTTTAAAAAAATTCTTCAAAATCTTGCTGTGTCTTATACTCTGGGGCGTCTTATACTTTGAAAAATATGGTAGTAGTTCACCCAAAAAAAACTCTTATCAGGGATGTGCATTAAATAATATTTTTGGGCTACGTGCTTCCTGTTCTCTTTGATAAATTGCAGGGAAGATCATGTATGGTCTGCTGTGGGAATTGGAAGAGAATTCTGCCTCCTGCATGGCTAGCTTGTAGCACAAACATCGGCGATGAAATCATAAAACAAAGAGAAGCCCCGTGAATGATTATTTATAAATCCCAACACCTGCAGTGGGCTAAAGCTCAGCAAGGCCAGGCCCTGGGACGCAATAAAGAAACATCCTCCATTGACAGTATATAAAATGCATGTAATCAAGCAGGCGGAAGTGCTGTGCGCGGGGCCTGCGCTGCCATCGAGCAGCTTCAGCATGATGAACACCAGGCATGGAAAGATGGACTGTGAAGCTTCATGAAAATGGCAGTTTTTTAATTGGCTTTGGCTTGTTAGCACATTGCCCTGTAAGGGTAGCGCTGAGCGTGTGGAGATGAGAAGCACAGCCCAGGGAATGGGCTGCCTTGCCGTCAGTTTACGAGGAAATCTCCATGTTGGCTGGATGGCTGAGGACCCTTATTAAAGCTTAAATCAATATTGCAGCCTTGTTCTTACAGAGTGACGCAAAGGTACCTAAAGTAACAAAGTATCCTAATATCGCTGCAAACGGCATATAGCCTGCTCAGGAGTCAGGGTTGATCTGAGTTGATTCAGCTCGCTAATAGCCCCTGCAAACCACTGAAATTAACTAAGCAGGCTCATTACCAAGGCTTAGCTCATACGCTGTCCTAAATTCCCTGTAATGGAATCTGCTGGAACTCTACAGGGCCCGCTTTGACGGGAAACGCCTGTGGATTCACTACTGCTTATTCCACTTTTTTTACGGTCTAGAAATTAAATCTCTCTTACTTAAGCAGGTAATCTACCAGATCACATAGGTGGCATTTAGGGCCGAAAAGAGCTCTCTACCTTCCTGTGTTTTCCGCAGAAACAACAGCTCCCAGGGCAGTCTTTCTTTCTCAGAACAGGAAGATCAGCAGGAATGCAATTGCTGTGTATGGATCGGGGGCACTGGATGTCTGTTTCACAATATAGGCAGGCCTCAGAGGCACCGGGCATCCTTCACCCATGCCCAGCAAATGCAAATGAATCCTTGTGCAAGGGAGCATCTTACTGCATTTACATTTTTTCTGCAGCTATGATAGCTTGCTTGGTCCTTTGTGCTGAAGAATGAGCAAAAGAATTATTTGCATTCATTCATTCATTCATTCAATTACTACAGCCCCCCCATCTCAATCAATCACTGGACAGTTTACAATTAAAAAAGTATATTGCATGCTGGTAGGCATCGGGAAAGGAAAACAGTTTAGATTATCTCTCCTCGGATTATGTCCTTTGCTTTCTATAAGGTTTGGTCTACTCTGTTGGTATTGTCAGAGGAAATTGTTGTCTACACTTAACCAGAAACAGTAAGGGTATCTCTTGCTCCAACCATAAAGCCAGTGATCGCTCTGCATTACTATGAATTCAGCATTGTAGAATATTTGTGCTTGATTGAACTAAGTCTGTGCGAGAATTTATATCAATGCACATTTTGCATTAAATCTTAAACTTAGGGATAATTTCTTTTTTCCCCTACATCTTTCTTTTTGCTTGTCAGAAAGTGCATCTTCCCTAGCTGGGAAAGTGGAGGTAAAATATTCTTTAATATTTTAATTCTTTGATTCTTTCATAAAAACTGGGTGATATAGCTTGTCAAGGAAGCAAGCTCTTGACCCTTTTTCAGTAGGCTCACAGATTTCTTCAATTCTAGCAATTGTGCCATTGCACTCAGAAAAGAAAAGGGCCAGCAGTTTCATGTGCCACAGACACTTGAAGGAAAAGCAAAACAGGGATATAATCTTTAAACCTTGAAGGTGGGATCCAAATGAAAACAATCCAGTGATCTTTGTTAGGAAGATCTCATGGGCGAATCTGTGAAGTCACTGATTTAGGGCAGCTTCCCCTAAAACTGTGAATTGCAGCTTCCTAGGACCAATCATCAAAAATGCCAGAGGAAGAAGTAGAGCCCAAAATATCTGGTTGCTGCAAGTTTGCAGCACATCCAAACCAAGATTTTTGTCAGATTACATATGGCAGTAAGCTCCACTTTGCCTGAATTGCTCCTTTGAGAGTCTCTACCACCATTGCTTGCTTACCAAATAGGGTATAGGTGTGTGTATGTGTGTGTGCAGTTTGGGATTCTCATATTTTCTTTAATGAACATGGAGCTCTGTGTGTGATTGCATCAATAAGACACTTTCCCAATCCATGTTATTAGATTTGATTTCTCTCCCCTCTGCTTACCAGAAAGGACCTTTCATCAGGCTTATGAAATAACAGAGCTCCAGGATCATGAAGCAGGTGGATTTACAAAGATTCTTTTAAGAGGGTCTCACAAAAGGGTGCAATGCCACAAATTTATCTTAAAGAAGAAAAATATTGTGTTAATAAAAAGAGTGAATATGGGACAATAGCCAGGAAAACGAGTTCGTGTAAGACTTCTGTTGAGACCAATTACCCATAGTATCACTTTAATGAGGTACAAGATTTTATGTGGATAAAACAGGACTTGAGATGCACAGGGTGATAGATCTTGGGCTGTGTGTGTGAGCTGTATCCCTTGTTCACGTGGGAAAAATCAGTATTCAAGCATTCCAAAAATTCTTAGTGGGCAACCTAATTGAACAAAGGGAGAGTTCACACTAGCAAGCAAGCACTACCTTAGTGTTATGTTCACTGTGAGATGCACCCTTACGTACCCCTATGCAAAAATAAGTTTGCATATGTTACTGTATGCGATCTTTGCACACATTAAAATGCAATTCATTTAATCGCCCATGGAAATTTCCTGTAAAAGGATAAAAGGTAGAATTTGGCTTTCCTGCAGCAGCTGTAGCCTTGTTAATGCACAGGTGCATTTATCCATCTCTTTCTGTTTGTGCTGAAGAAAGAATAAGGTGAGATAAAAAAAGAGGATGGAAAAAAAAAACAATCCTTCACAAACAATTCATATCTAAATAAAGCAGGATCTGTGCTATTATTTGCCCCAGTGAGTTTTCTAAGGTCAGTCTAACTCATTCTGTTATATAAGAGCAAGGTTAGGGAGAGAGGGTTATACATGGGAAAAAGAGAAAAGCGAGGAAATTTCGGCATCTTCCAGAAAAAAAATGCTTCTAATGTGCTTAAAGGTTGTATGTTAGGGCTCTAATGTTTACACATGAGGAAAATAGGAGCATCGTGCTTAGTCTTCATCTTTGTGAGTATTGAAGTGTGAGTATTGTGTATATGAGTATTGAAGTGAAAGGAAGGAAAACCAAAATGTTTGTTTTTTCTTTGGAGTGAGGGAGGAGCTAAACGTAGGTGATATATGTGAAATTAGGATTTGTGCCCTGTACTTCCCAAAGCTTAGCCGTTCCTATAGTTTTGGATCACAGTTCTCATCATTTCAAGCCAGCATGCCTAGTGGCTATATTGAAAGGGCTGAAAATGGGGACGGCTCATATATGAGTTTAAACGCTGCTGTGATCTCATCTGTCTGGTGAAAGCAACAAGATTTATTCGCTTAATTTAGCATTTGGGTAAATGTTTTCATTTAGCAAGGAAAATTAGGATTTTGCTCTGATATTAGACCACTTGATTCTTAACTCTAAAGTTTTGGGTGAATTTTTTAAATTATCATTCTACAATCTGAATTTGAAAATTTATCTAACCTTGTTTCTTTTGGCTGCCAGAAAATCATTTTTTTCCTTCAAGAAAGATCATTTATATTAAGTGATACCAAAATCTTTAATTTCCCATTGGGAGTGAGGTTTCTGCAGCCTCTGCTACTCTGTTCTTTACCCTACTCTTCCTTCCTTCCTTTGTTCCTCCCTCCCTCCCCTTCATTGCCTGAACATCCACCTTTCTCACCACAGGCATGAGTATCTTTGGAAAGGAGACTTTCAACCAAAAGCTGAGGCTGACTTTATGCACAGTTAAGTTCATAGCTCCTTATGCAATTCATGATCGGAAGTGCCAACACTAATGGGCTCACACTCTCATTATGTATGAAGCTTTTTAAACATACTTGTAACAATACAAAGCTATATACACACCACATTACCTGATGCACATATGCATGAGCAGCTGTCTGTCTGGCTCATAGTTCACAATTAAAATTGCAATTTATACACGTGGAAAGTTTTAAGAAACTTTGTCCTCTATTTCCAGTGGTCCCTGGAGGCAAATTCTAATCTTTGCATTTTGTGGACTGTCCTGTTTTGACTTGTCATCCTCCTTGCACCCAGTGGTTTGTGAAGGGCAGGGGTGCTCATGCAGTATGCATTCCACAATCTCAGATAATCTTCTATGCCACTTGATATTATGAGCACTCTGCTCCATCAAGCATGTCTGAGGCCCGATCCTGCTGGGCCGTAGTGTTGTTCATTTGAACTCTGGCTGCTCAGGTTCATGCCTTAGTTTTATTAAACCCAGCAAGATGCATCCTTCTTTATGTTCCTATTGCCACTGTTCCACCTCTTCCTCTCTGGATTGCTCCTACCGCAAATCCACTTTCCAGGAAGAATGATCTGAATTATTGTCTTTTATTGACCCGAGAGGTGAATTTGTAGTCTCCCGGTGGAACCATAGCTTGCCCTGGTGCGGATGCTTGAAAAAAGAAAAATCTGCCTGAGTTATAGGCTTCCTTGCCAACAGGGTATGTGCTGATGTATGCCATTAAAAACCCAGGACAAGAGTTGTGCCAACAGATCAGCAGCAGCAGCAATAGTAATCAGCATCCATCTGTCAATCACAACACAGCCAAAATGGCTTGGCATCCTTATTGGAAGAGACGCGTCTTTGGAACAGAATGGAATGGCCAGAACAAGGCAATTTGGTGCAAGGATCAATGTCCGTCCTGTTACCGTGAGGCAGATTTGGTGGCCATATCAAATATTTCCTAAGAAGAGCCCTGCCAATTCAGAGGTGCTCATAGAAGCTCTGCTTCCTTCCCTGCAGAAGTAAAAGTCAGGCTTGGGTGACCTTCCTGATTTAGGGTTGAAAACCACGTCAAACACGTAGTTTCTTTGTGAAATATAAGCATTTTATGAATGTATTTACAAAACATTGTTTTGCACTGTGTTGAATTCCTGAGAAGATCACCAGGCCAAAAATGAGCTATAATCAAAACTAGAGCGCCTATAAAAAAATTAAAGCAAAGCTGATCAAATACAGCAGCAGGCAAGATTTTAAAAACACTGAAGACAACTTAACTCTCTTTTTGAAAAAGAGCCTGCATGAGGCGTGGGCTCCATAGCCAGGTGCTGCCACTGATAAAACCTTGTAATGCATCTCTACCATTTGCCCTCTCTTGGCAGCGGAAAAACTGGACTTGACAAGCGAGTGCAAGGATAACAAAGTGTTCTGGCCTCAAATCATTTTAGACTTGGAAGATAATAATCAGCAGTTTGTATTAGACCAGAAACCGTCAGAAGTCAGTGGAGTTTAAACAAGAACAGGGCAATGTTTTCAAAAAAGCAGGTCCAAGAATTTTGGGGAGGAAATAGCTATACCTTCTCGTGTTACATTTAATTACTACTGGCTGTAATTGCCATTAACTGTTCTGCATTAATGTGTTAATTTATTTGGACACATCTATTTAAAGATGTTTACTAGGACACATTCCAAGGAATACATGGGCTCAGATCTTCTCCTTGTGCCACAATCTTCATTTAGCATTTTATCTCCTATCTATTCTAGCCACATCCGGTCACCATGCGGCTTGCCATAGTTGCTCTACTAACTGCGTTTTGCAACTATCTCAGGTATTGGTTTGGATGCAACTAATGCCTTCCTGCTGGATGGATGCTTACTGAGGCAGATGTTCATTCCAGCTTCCTCCTCTGGAAACAGTGAGGGAGAAATCCGCCTAGGTCTGGGGAAAGAGCATGCAAGCAGCAGGAGGCACCTAATCAATAACTCCCAGTCTCCCATGGATGATCAATCCTTTTCCAGGGCTGAGTCTACGGCCCATCAATCAGCTAGTGCACCCATTCCCAGGCTGACATAAAGGTTTGTGATGAGACCAGACCGAGGCTGTTGTTTCAGGGTTGGGATACGAAATTAGACAATGGAGTAGATCCCTGAAATAACACCTGGAATCTACCTGTGGCCAATGCTGCTTTAAAAAAAAAAGGATCGAAACAAAAGACAGTTTTGCTGTGTGTCCTGCGCTTCGTGCTTATAATTAGTCTCTGCCGTCCCTCCAGCTGTCTGCCTGCACTCTCCGTGGCACAAAGCTACAGGAGCCGCATTTTGATTATTACAACTATTCTCCAGCTGATCAGGACATGAGTGACTCTGAGCTGCCACATGTCATTGAAATCTATGACTTCCCACCAGAATTCCGCACTGAGGATCTGCTGTGTGTCTTCTGCCATTACCAGTAAGCAGTTTGGTTCTGTTTCTCACCTGTGTTTTCTAGTGTAGCCTTGTCCTCTGAGCTGAAGTGGCTGGGATGTAGCATGTTGGAACTGCACCCTTTCAGTGACTTGTTTAAGAGTCACTGACCGGCTGCTTGCTTGCTTGCTTTTATTGCAGCCACCCCCTGCCTCGGGGCCATCATTGTCAGCTTTTTCTAATGAGGCTCAGGTTTGGTATGTTATTGCCACCCATTGGGGGAATATTATATTCCTCCCATCCTCTAAGGCAGTGTTTCTCAACCTTGGCAACTTGAAGATGTCTGGACCTCAACTCCCAGAATTCTGCGTTCGCTGGCTGGGGAATTCTGGGAGTTGAGGTCCAGACATCTTCAAGTTGCCAAGGTTGAGAAACACTACTCTAAGGATTCTTCCTGTCCTGCAGTGAGAAATTTAAGTGAACACACATCCGTTTCCTACCTGTATATTTTCTTTGAAGCTGCACCTAATTTGATGGTTTTTGTTGGGTTTTTCACTGCCAATTTTCCAGCTTTCTTTCTTTCTTTCTTTTCTTTCATCAGGAAAAAAGGCTTTGACATTAAATGGATAGATGACACACATGCTTTGGGTATCTTCTCCAGTCCCATCACAGGTATGACCTGCTGCTTCTGAGAACCAGAGCTGCTGGGTGTGTCTTTGGATGAAAGATGACAGCATTGGTTGAGTAGAGGGACTCGGGGCTCCTGTCCACTCACTCTCATTTCTCATCTGACATTGCCTTTATTCACCATAGCGCGGGATGCTCTCAGTACCAAACATCTGATGGTGAAAACCCGTCCCCTGTCACAGGCTACACCAGCTGCAAGGACCAAAGCCAGAGCTTATGCGGGTAAGTCCAGAAAGATTCAAAGAAGCTCCCGGGCTAACCTTTTTCTAGCTGCTGAGTCATACCTGTAACATATATCAGGGGTGGGTTTCAACCGGTTGGTCGCCGAACCCGGAAGTAAGTAACTTCCAGGAACGGCGAAGCCCCCCCCCCCCGCGCCCACTCCTTACCCGGTTTTGCCGAATTCTGCGCTTCCACGCATGCGCAGGATGCATACAGCACCTGCGCGATCCTCCAGGAGCAGCTGGAGCATCGCACAGACGCTAGTACGCATGCGCGCAGCGCGCGCGTGCTCGCACACGCCGCGAGCATGCGCAAGGACGCCGCCGGCCTCGTTCTAACCGAACCGGTTGGAACGGGGCGAGAAACCCACCCCTGACATATATATAGGGTTGGCCAAGTATTTGATCTGGGTTATATATATTGTCTCCCTGTAGGTATTAACTGAGGCCATCTGATTTTAAACCAGGCTTCAAATGTCCGATCCACCTTTGCTCAGAGCATGTCATAGATTGATTAGTTCTGGTTCTCAGTGCTGATAAAAATGCCTCCTGATCAAGAAAACTGTTCCATTGGAAATATCCATCATTTCCCCTTAAATTTAGAATCCTGTGCACGCTTCTTCGGTGAAAGAGCTACACTAACATCTGTTGATGGTGTCCTCTTAGCATTGAACGGAGCTATTGCAACATTAACAAGGATCAATCCTATGAAATGCTGGGTCATCCCCTCTTGAGTTGCGGTTGGCTAAACTAATTCCCAAGACTCCTTTCAGGCAAATATGATGTGCTGCTGCATGTTTTAAGTAGTAAACACAGCAAATATTTTTTTTTAGTTTTCCAATCCTGTGTTGTCAAACATCTGTGAGCCTGAAAAGTGAGCAGCACAATGTTAACACTGCCGTGTATTGTGGTCTGTTTTCAACACAGTATAATGGTGATAGAATTAATGGAACTGAAGAAACAGCAACCCTACAGTTCTGCTAGCATTTGTATATTTGGCCAGTGGTTTTTTAAGTTCATTGCCTTTAAGTTCATGTCCTCTTTATTATTCTTCCTCGCCCCCCCCCTCCCTAGTTTCATGGGAAGATCTATTGCTACCAATCTTTCACTCTGTTTTGTTATATTCGAAGTAGAAAGGAATGCCTATGTTCTGGGGAAGAGAGCCATCTGTTAATATTTAAAAATGCTCGTCTTCCCACCCTAACAGTGGAAACAATAACTCCAGATATTGAGACATCTGCTTTTCCCTCTCTTAGAATTCCTGCAACCTGCCAAAGAGCGTCCTGAGACCTCAGCTGCTCTGGCCAGGAGACTGGTGACAGGTGCCCTTGGTGTGCGAAGCAGGCAGAGCAAGGCCGAACGCGAAGCTGAACGCAAGCAGTTGCAAGCAGCTCGAGGTAAGCTTGAAGGAGCAGAGACACTGCTGTATTGGAGATGTGTGTTTGTATGCAGAGGTGGGTGGCACATGAATTAACAACCAGTTCGCCCAGCACCGAAAATGTGAGTGAACGCATGTGCCATCCGCCCATGCACCCAGCCTTCCACACGTGCGCTTAGCGCATGCACCTTGGACATATGTGTGCGACATAAGGTGAAATAGGACAGCATAGCACCGGGGGATGGGGGAGGAGGCAGGTCACCACTACTGGTTTGCCCAAACTGGCAGCAGCCCACCACTGTATGTATGGAAGAAGTTGGGAGAGATAGGAATGGCTATTGTACTTCTAGGAGTACCAAGTGTCTAAAATGAAAAAGATGCAGTCTGCAGTAGCAATGAGAGAAATTACATCATTTCTCTGTGTCTCGGTTTCAAGCTACCCTGCTCTCATTTACTATCCACATTCAGGAAGTCTATCTGGCCCAAGTATCTGCTTCAGTGCAGAATGGTAAGTGAGCCAAAACATTTTTGTTATCACTGCCTGAGTACCGTAGGGAACTTCTGAATGGCCAGTGATTTCCCTGTCTTGGGTTCAGCAGAGAAACTTAACTCTGCTCTCCTGAAATATGCAGGGATAAGCAAGGAAGAATCAACTGGACTTCAGTCCCCTTTCTTTAACGTTACTAAGGTCACTTTCTGCCTAGCCTTCATGTGCACCAACCAGAGAGCGGTGATAAAGCTATTGGCCTGGCCAGGGGAAGGAGAGTTTTCCATCCTATCTGGCAAATTGTAATGAAATAACAAAGTATTTGTAGATTCCTACTGTGGTAGAAGTAGAAAGAAGAAAGAGAACCAGCCATTTGCTGCAGAATAGCTTGTGGATATGAACTCCCCCGTCCTGCAGTAGTGTAATCTCTTGAGTAAAAGGTTAGTTTAGTCTTTAGTTTATGCCCGTGTCTATGGTACTGCCAGTCTTCTGTTTATGGTGGGCATCCGGATGCATGTGGTCTTCAAAGGATTCTACCTAGCTTATCTCCAACTCCTCACCCTCCTGGATGGCCTAAAACTGAAACTGAACCCACATGTTCAACAATGCAGTTTTTTGCCCCTAGGGATGTAAAGGACAAGTCATGTTGAACGACTAGAAAATATAGCATAATAAATGTATTAGTTATAAAAGCTATTAGAAGTCTATTTCCTCTTGTGAAACCATAAATCTTCTGAACAGCCTCTGTTCCCATCTCATAAACGTGGGCTAGAAAATCACATAACCAGAAATTCAACCTGTACACTTGTTTTCAATTTAACCAGAATTTCTGAGATTTTGGAAGAAATGTATTATTTATTTTATTTATCTGTTAGATTTCTGCCCAGCTTTTCCATTGTGGCTCAAAGTAGCTTTCATGGATAAATCTTTTCCATATTTTTTTAAAGAAATCCTGCAAGATAGATTGGGCTGAGAATTAAATTTGATTGGGTGAGCTGAATCCAGATCTTTGCAGTCCTAGACAGAACCACTGAGAAAGATGGGGTTTTTTATTGTTTTTGTTTTTTGGCCAGAGCTGGTGGATATGGAAGGCAGAGCTGAATCTTGTCCAGATGGGCCAGAAATGATAAAAAATGAGGATGAAAAAAAATTGAATATATAAGCTATGGATTCCCTCTTGGAAAAGAAAGGGTAGAAGTTAGTTTTACCGGCACCATGATCTTTTATGAAAGTGCTATATTTCCAGCTCCCTTATCATTCAGGCAGCATTGAAAATCAGATAAGAAATAGAGGTCATTAACAATGCAAGTATTTTATTTGTAGCATTTTTCTTTAACAACACGTTTTACACTTCCGGAATATGCTGACAACTTTTTGTCAGTTCAAATGATAAATTTCCAGGTGGTTCCATTTTCTAGTTTTGCCTCTTCTCTCTAATAATTCTGGTAAACTCAACCCCTCTATCTTTCCCTTTCCCTACAGTCCCTCCCCTCCCCCATTTTTCTGTGGCAGATTCTGAAGCAGCTATTTTGTAGAGTATTTGTTGACCTTCTTCAATTGTTCTTTTGAAATTGGAGTATGAGTATTGATTATTCAAGTTTTTAGACATTATTATTGTAACGAACGGTTAAAGATTGCTTTTTTTCTACTGGTTTGACTTTTTGACTAGGATATGCATCCAATAATCACAGACATTTTAGAGAGGGGAAAGCATCAACATTAAATATTGGTTTATGTAGCCTTGTTAATCGAATGCCTTCATTGTACTTTCTAAGATGTGCCTCTTTGAATCCAGGCAAGAAGTAGGAATTCTTATTTTCTCGTCCTTTTTCTTTAAGGGCATTGGAAGAGAACAAGGATTCCCCCCAGCAGCAGCGAGATCAGTTTATAGCTCTCATTAAGTGCCTTGAGGGAAGAAAGCTGTGGTATATCCAGTCCCTCTAGGAAAAAAGATATATGGGAAATGCGATTGTGTCAGGTCTTCAATATTCAGCTAAAGACGCTAGGTGGTGCTCTAGTTCTGTTTACTGTACTGAACAATAGTACTACTCCGGAATACAGAACCCCGAGCCAGGCTGAGCTTCAAAGTAGTGAAAGTAAGGCTTGCATAAGAATAGCTAATTTATTTTAATTCTAGCTACCAAGTCAGTAATTTGCTACTCTCCTCTGCTGAGTAGGCTTTCAAGTAGATTACAAGCAAATTCTCTAGGCTGATCTCAGGTGAAATGCAGCTCCATAATACGTTGCATGGATCTGTAGGAAGGGATAAGATTCAGGCATGCTGTGCAGGGTAATTGAGTGAAGACTTCCAGTGTGCAAGGATGTGAGCATGTCCACAGTTTGCTTAGGCGGCTCTTGATCTCTGCACCACCTAAGCAGAGACAACAGCCTTCTAAGTCACGAAGGATATCAAGAGAGAATGCATGCACACCAAGGCTGCACTTAAGGGGTCACCAAGGCCCTTGAAGTTGCCGCTCTGATCAGCTCTATTTCACGTGGCTGCTACTTCCCTGATCCCATTTTCTCTTGCAGAGCGGAAGCTCTTGGAGGCCAAGCAAAAGGAAGATGCCTGGGAAGGTCGTGAGTGAGTCAGCAGCCAGTGCAAGAAGAAGGAAGTTGATCAGGCCTGCTTGAAAACCTCACAGAGTGGAACTGACAAATGGCAGCTTGTGCTTAGAGCATTGAGGGACTCTACCATCCCCTTTGGGGGAAGCAATAAGATACGGGGAGTTGGGAGTGCATTGGAGTATCCAGACATGCCAGGGTGAGTCATGTGAACTCAAGCTACTGGGCTGACTGGAAGGCTGTGACAGAGTGGGACTGGAGTCTGGCAGTATCTCAGGAAGAACTGCTGTATTGTTAACAGTCCTGCCAGTGTCCGAATGCCATAGAATGTAATCAAAATGCACTCATCACATTAGTTTAAGGCAGCCTGGATGCAGGGCCTATCTGTGCTCTGGGTCACTGTGCTCAGTGGGATGGGACTGAACCGTGATAGCTTTTAGATCAGGCCCACCAGGATGGCCAGGTGCCCAATGCTGAGCTTGCTATTAAAGTTGATTTGATTTTATATGGTGTCGTGTGATGCAGGCAGCTTTACTGCCTCCAAGTAACTCTATGAATCTTCAGCACTGGAAAGTAAGCAGAGGTATGACAGCAACTCAATGAGTTACTATGGCTGGACTTGACTCAGACCCTCCTCTTCCAGATCCTTTAGAATGGAGGTCAACAGAAGATGCCCAGAAGGAAGGGGCTTCTCTCTCACAAACCCATTCCTGATGGGACCCTCGTAGGTTCACCTGAAGAGCTGAAATGAAAGCAACTCTTCCCCTATGGGGAACTCAGGCTCCAGCTGGGAGACCCTGCTACCCAAACAGACTCTGGACCTCCTAGCAGAACCATTCCTAAGAGCCTTTATGCACTTGTGTGGGATTCCCCTCCTTGTGGCAGGAACATGTTGGCAGCAGTCCTTGCAGCATGTCACGCCCACCCTGTAAAAACAGGCACAAGTAAAAAGCAAGCCAGCTCTGGCCGTTGGATTTCACTTTACAGGCATTCCCTCCCCTCCCCCCCGCTGCCGCCCACTCCCCAGGAATGCATCTCAAAAGACCAGCAAACAAGGTCCTTTCTGTTCTGAGCAGCTGCGTTACCACCACCCAAAAAGCAGGCGGATTGGCTGCTTCCTGTAAATGTACATCAACAACACACCTTTGCCAGGCTGGGCCGGAGATTCCTGTGGTCAGACACTCCCAGCTGTGCTTGGGGTCAAGCCCTCTAATTCTTGGACCAAGAATTTTGGTTGTCTCCGCTTGGTGCAGAGATCAAGATCCAGATACATCAGTCTGATCTTGCTACCGCAACAGCAGTAGATAGCAATTGCTGCTCAAACTCTAGACCAACACCATCTGACCCAGTCCAAGTTGTGGGTCAAGACAGCCCATCAGAGGTAATGTTGGAGGTGGCATTTTGGAAGAGGGGGGAGCAGAGTTCACTAAGGTGTGTGTGCCTGGCGTGCCACATTGACCTAGTCGGAGGGAGACTGGAGATACTCTCTGGGGGACATTCCACTTGAGACTGCTCGGGGTCAAATCGCACACAGTAAGCCAAGGCAGCTCTCAGAGCTGGAATGCTCTGGCAAGCTGCCTGTTGCTGGCCAGCCAGACTTAACAGCCATCTCCGTATCTGGAACAGCAACCGGTTGTGTCTCCATTTGAGCAGGGTGGAGTGCTTGCCTGTGATGTGGGCAGTATTCTGGAATAGGAGCGGATGGGTAGTGACTGCTTTTCCTGGCAGTTCTAATAGTCTAATTTCCTACTCTGCCAAGCAAGTGATACCTGAACCAAGCCCTGTCTATTTGATCCAGGTAAATACTCTCCAATCTGATACACCAGAGTGGCTAAATTGGGTTTCATTCCCATTTATAGTTTCTGGCTGTTTGCAGAGCCTCCCTGCACGAAAGGCCAGCAGCATTTGCACCAGAGTAGACTAGCCATCCAAGTAATTTCATTTCTACTTAGGAACAATTGCATTGAAGCTTATTGAGGAATTGTATTTGATTCTTTAAGGCAAATATGCAGATCATTCTTTAAGTTGGCATACCCCGGGTCCTATGCTTAGCTGGTCCCATGCCTTATTCCAGACAGGATTTGTCTTTTCAATCCGTTATTGGCCTATTTCCTGTACTCTTGTCATTTCTCTTAGGATTGCACTGTTGCAAAACATGCCATCGAATTTGAGAAGTATTTTAATTATCTCCAGAAACAGATTTAAGATTTGTCTCCTCAATGTTGCTTTAAAACCTAAACACCAAAAGCGTGTAGTGTTTCAGATCTGAATTATGCAAAGAGGCTTCATATCTAGCATAGACACCTCACCTTCCCCATCAGCAGTTCCTTAAAAAGAAAGGCCATTTCCTAGCCTTTCATAATAAGCTCTATCCAGGAGTGAAATTCGACTTGTTCTATCCGGTGTGGGTGAACCGGTAGTGGCAGCAGCGGGAGGCTCCGCCCACCCACCCTATGTCATCACGTCCCGTTTTTGACACTCTGCGCATATGTGTGCTCAGATTTGCAAACCAGTAGTGAAGATAAGTTGATTTCATCCCTGAGTCTGTACTCAAGAAAATACATGCATAAGTTGAGTTCAGAAGGCATTAAAAGCATCTGTGAATGCTCATGTGCTCCTGGATATGTGCCCTTGTATCAGGGCTTTTCAGATTCCCTGCCTCGTCTGGCTTTCAATTTTTTCTAGTTTCTCTTAATTTTAGAAGAAGACAGAGAAAGCATGCAGAACATGCCTGGATCCTTTAATCTCATTAAAATAGTTCTGCTCTGGGACATTTGACCAGAAAGTGAGACTTTAAATGAAGATCACAACACACTCCAAGCTCAATTGCCTTGCCACAGTGGGTTTGGGGGTGGGGGGTGGGTGGGTTTCTCTCGGTTACTTTTTCTTTTATAGCCCCTGGCTTGATCTGCGCCATTCTTGAACGCAGTTTTTTTGGAAGAATGTTTTATTTCCAGCACCAAATTATTTTGCTTGCTTTATTTCCCATACCAGATTTGGCCCTCGTCTGTTCAGTTTTCATATAATTATTGTGCTGAGGAGACACAGTAAAGTCCTGGGTCCCTCTGCATAATTTCTTTCCAATGCTCCCATTGGATTGGAAATAATAAAAAGAAAATGGAGTTGTTTCTTGTCCTTTTTTTTGTCCTTTGCTACTGATACAATCCTGTGTCCCAAAAACTTTTGCCAACCAGAAAAATTGATCAGCACATTCAAACACATGTCAGTGGTAGATAAATTAAGACAGGTTCTGCCCATTTTTATTAATCAGCAACTCTGTTACTTAAGTATGGCACAGATATACAGTATTATGTAGAAGTCATTCAAAGATCTCACTTATTAGAGTAACAGTATGTATGAATACAGCAACAATCCAAACTTATGTGGGAGGAGGGGGTAATTGGCAGCCTACAAAGAAATATGAGACATTTAACCCTCTAAAGTACCAGCCTCCAGCATCATCTTTATTTACAATGATTCCTCTGGGTCTCATAGGCCTTCTTAGAAAATACAAGGGGTGGGTTACTGCAGCCCAGGGTTTTGTTAAAAGGCTGCTATCTGGCCAGAGAAAAGGCTAGCTAAAAGCTACTTATTTATTTTGCAATATTTGTAAATCACTCTAATCTCCGACACTCTGGGAATTGTAGGAGTATCATGGGAGCTGGAGGAATTAACAATCAGCAATTTTATAGAGTTGCCTTCTGGTAATGGGCTGTTTGTGCTTGCTATAATAGCCACTTGGGGAAAAGTCAAGTCCACCCACTCTTCTCCCACTCACGGCAACCTGTGGTGTGAGTTCCTGTGATGCCCTCACAAAACTCAAGCCTGGCTCTGACTCAAATAGGTTGGAGATCCCTGATATCAATTATGGGCTGGTCAGTTGGACATTCTGAAGCAGCAGAGGAGCTTGCTGGGCTGTGACTCTCCATCTCTCCTGATGGTTTAATACGACCTCCCTCAAAGGCCTTCCTCTGACTGCAAGCTCATTCTCACAAATTTAAGCCCACATTGATTCTTGAGCATTGCTGGATCCTTTGCAAGATTCAGTGGCACAGACCTAAATCTGTGCCAGCAGCTGATTTATTTTTTTCTGGGCATTGAACATTGGTAACCATATTTAGATTTCACATTCTGAATATTCCCTCACTGCAGCCCTCCTGAAGTAGAGAGGGGGAGAGCAGAAATGGGTTAACACAGAGTCAGTCATTTGGTTCAAAGCAAGAATCATTTTTAAAATGGCAGAATGTTTCTAGGTGTTTTCATATCAGAACTGCAGTAATCTAAGGAATAACCTGGCCATTGTTGATTTCATAATACAGTTATTGAGTTTATTTGCTGCACATTTCAAGATAGAAACTTGAAAAATCTGATCCGGCCAATTCTGGCTTGGGCATCATGCCCATTCTCCTCTGCAGTGATCTTATCGTGACTCATGCACCTCTTTACCAGGAAATAATGTTTTAGCTAAATTCAACCCTTTTGGGATTTTGAAAACATTTAATACTGAAAAGTAGTATTGAAGCCGTATCACAAATGTCTATGAAATAAGTATCCTCCGGAGCAATATGTTTCATTCATTCTTCATTTCTTAAATCCTCAGTTTAATTCAGTTTAGTTGGAATGAGAGTTTGGATGTTTGCCCTCTATTAAAGGAATCATTGTAATCCGTTCCAGTGTATTTCATTTCTCCCTGTTTGTTGCGTGATAAATTTCCATTTCTTGCTCATCTGTTGTATATATAATCCTCACTTGTCTTTTCATGGTTGTATTTCTCTTGGGAAAACATGTACATTTTCCAACAATTTAAAATGTGGTGCTTTCTTTCCGAGAAAAATTAAGTATTCTTCCCTGTCCAAATATACATATAGTGTCGTAGGAATTGCTTTTTGAAGTTGGATGGAAGTTGCCTCACCATCCCAAGAACAGTCTAGGTCAGTGTTTCTCAACCTTGGCAACTTGAAGATGTGTGGACTTTAACTTCCAGAATTCTGGGAGTTGAAATCCACATATTTTCTATCTGACAAGGTTAAAAACACTGGTGTAAGTGTTCTTTGCAGAAGTACCAGGCACATAGGAACTCTTGAAGAGACTTTTCTGCCTGATTGGCCTGCCACACATTCCAAATTTTATGGGATAATAACATCTTGTCTTCCACTACTTGTGGGCTTTTGTCCTCAGAAAATATATAAAGGCGGAACAACTGTATGATATCTCTTGATTAGTAAGGTTGGGACGTATCTGGAAACAGGCAAAGGTGTGACATAGTGTAAAGTTAATGACACTAAAAGCCTCACAAACTCGTACTTCTATAACAAGAATTTTGATCTTTGAACACCTCAATAAGAATCAGAGCAGCATCAAACACTTTGGGGAAGCCATTGAGACAGCCATTTTGAGTCTGAAATGAGGTGTTTCAACTCAAATTCAGACTAGAAACCGTTTACATACTCTAATGCCTTAAAATGGTGAATCAAAGGAGTAAGGTAAATGTGAGTCTGTATATTACCAAGAAAAAGCAAGAAGTTTGGAAGTGAAGGAGAAATATCTGAAGAAGAGAGAGAATTTATTGAGATTATGGTGCATATGAAAATGTAGGGAAGGAGCATATTGAGCAAGTGAAGATTTGAGGTGCCTTTTTTTTTACACAGCAACATGAAAAATGGCATTAAATTAATAGATGAGGACTTTATGTCATATAATGAATATGAACTCTATGTTCTTCCATGCCCTTTCTGTTCCATGTAAGCCTCAAATATGGTTGCCTTCTTGCCTCTGCACTCCATTAAACCATGAAGGTTCTTTTCAGCTTCCACTCTGTTAAATCTATCCTGCAGATTGCAATCAATTTCTCTTTTGCTTTTCCTGTTCCCCATGTTTCAGTTATTTCTGCTTCCCTTATGCCTGTCTGGTCCATCTAGCAGAGATATTTAATCTTCAGAGCGAAGATCACATAAATTACTTGATACAAATGATGACAAGGAGAAAAAAAATCAAAGGAGATGAGGAGACTAAGAAAATAGAATCAGTCTCATATTGCAGAGTTAGCATAGCGCTGAGCTGCAAGATGGAGGTCTGTAGTACATACAAGATATTTCATGAAAAATGACTCTCCCCATGAATTGCGAGCTGGTGAGAAAATTTGCTGAAGAAGCTTACTAAGAATGTAATCACTGTTGGTCACACAAATAAATATTGAACTTATATTATATTCACAGCTAAAATAATGTGTACAAAAGTGTTGAAGTTGCTTTCCAGAAACTCCTGGAGTTTCTCCATGAAAAACCTAGGAAAGATATATGTGTTTTCCAGGAAGAGGTCTCATTTTTTAAAGTCTATTTGAGATGAACAGTGTGATGACCCTTTTCTCCATTCCATACACAAAGTATTTCTTCAGTGTGACAGCAACTTCTATAACTTCTGTTCTATAGCATCTTACCACTGCTTCTTATCAAAGTACATGAAATGGATTTCTCCCTCTACCCAACAGAAGATTGGCCTTCATACTGCTTGAGGCTGAACATTTTGGCTCCTTATGTGTGTAATATCATTTATTAGTTAATTGTGAGGATTATGAGATTCAGTTTCTACAGATACACTACTGGAATAAAATCAGTTCCCCTGTCCATTCAGATAATCCTGAGCTTGATAACCAATTAGAGGTAATTCTTAATTCAGTCATTTAGCAATCATTTGAAGTTATGAGAGAAACTCCATAAACCACTTAACCCGTATTTGAAGTTATGATGTCTGATCAAACAGTAACCTACTTGGGGTTTGAGGGATGGTGGTAAATCAAGAACTACATGTATTCAATCTGGGACAAGGCAATTTCTTCACCATATGTAACTTTGTTCAGACCACCTTCCCACTCTTAATGGTTTTTTTAAAGTCCAAGTTGAGCGACCTGTTATTGAGTGTCAAAATTGTCTATATCAGCTGAGAGAGAGAAAAAGAGGCAGTGTTTTTCAAATTTCACTTGTCTCCTATTCATGAAATGGAATTTCACATCCAGAATGTCAATACTTGAACCATTTTGGACAGCACTTCAAAATAGTTCAATTTCCACTCTATTTTGGACTTCCGGTGAGAACACGGTGAGCTAAACTTCCCTAGAGTGAGGATGGTAGAGATTGGTGGGCAAAGAGTGAATCATGCTGAAATCTCTCCGGAGAAAGGAGGGATTGTGAGATCACCTACATGTATTCTGGGCAGCTGTTTCTTGCAAGTGAACTGCATGTTTTTGAAGTTGGAGTTGAGGGATTCCAAATAATGTCACAGTTATAATGTAACCTATATGAACAAAAAGCTTGGCCAAGATTAATTTCATATTTTTTTGAGATTACCTTTTTACTGTCTATGAAGAACTCTGAAGAAACTTCTTGGATGAGAAGTGAAACATCTTCAAGGAAAAACAAAGTAAAATTGCCTTTTTAAAAAGTACCTACCCTGTTTCCCTGAAAATAAGACTTCCCCGTATAATAAGCCCAATCAGGCTTTTGAGCGCATGTGCTAAAATAAGCCCTCCCCTGAAAATAAGCCCCGAAAATATTGCAACACAGCAGCAGCCATGAGGTGACCACACTCACTGCCTCCTGCACCTCAAAAATAATAAGGCCTCCCTGAAAATAAGGCCAAGAGCTTATTTCAGGGGTCAAAAGAAAATAAGACCCTGTCTTATTTTCAAGGAAACACTGTACATGTTTATTGGTTTTCAAATATTAAGAAACTTCAGAACAGCAAGAATTATGGCATTCACTGGGTGACTTTCCTTCAACCCTTTATGAAAGAAGTTTAAGGAGGAGATTAAGAATTTAGAAAAATTCTTTTTGGAG